TAGAGCGGCTGCCACTCCCTCCTGGCCCTAGGAGACAGTCCCAGAAGGCCAGTTCACCCTGACCAGCCCCCTCCGTTCCCAGGAACCCTGAGGGAGCTCCTAGCTCAGAGGACAAGCCATCGTGGCCACGTGGCTGCCCTCACCATGGCCCAGAAGTAGGTGGCCATCTCGTGACGGTTCTGCAGCACGGCCCACAGGAACAGGTCCCTCCAGGGGTTCTCGCTTTTCTGACTGAGGTCCAGCAGCCACTTCTGGCCCGTGGGCCGCTTGGCCGGCCCCCTCTCCTGGAGGACAGGCGTGTTAGCCTCCAGCCAGGCCCCAGCCCAGGTTCCGCCCGGTCCCCGCTCATCACCTTCCTGCGGCCAGCCACCCTGCTATCCTGGTAGAGGCCGCGGCAGGCGTCCTGCAGGAAGTCCTTGAGCACACGGGAGACCTCGTGCAGGGAGAAAGCAGGTGGCCCGGAGGGTGGCTCACGGGCCTGCTGGGCACCCAGGCTAGCCAGGGTCAGCCGGCCCTCCTCGTGCTTGCGCTGCAGCAGGTCGAAGAGCAGGCTCTTGGGGGACACGGAGCGATAGAGCTGCTGCAGCCGTCCGTAGGTCAGGAAGTCGGCCATGTCGGCGCCATTGTCCACAAAGAGTCGCACGAACTCGGGCTTGTTGCTCACTAGGGCGTCCATCATCACCTCCTCCAGATCACAGGACTGCGGAGGGGCGGGCACCAGGGGAAAGGTCGAGGGGAGGGGAACATGGGGAGAGTGAATGGAAGCCGGTGCAGAAGGGGGACCTCGAGAAAGAAAGACAAGAAGGGGCAGAGGGAGAACACACGAGAGTGAAGGAGCCAGGGTACAGGGCCCCTTTGCCAAGGCTAGGCCAGCACAGGCCTGCACTGCATGGGACACCCCCACTGTGCCTGTGATCCTGGCAGACAGAGATCACTGGGTTCAGACACCTAACACAGGAAGAGTCCAACAGGCTGGCCAAGGTGGTCACAACTCCCTGGGGCTCTGGGACTAGCCCTCACCCGGTGGAAATCCTGCCCAGGGGCTGACGAGCCAGGCTCGGCACCACCTGGGCTGTGCCTTGCATGTCCCCCTCAGTGGAGCCAGCAAGGGCCCAGCCAGCAGCCCTCAGGACACCACCTCCCCCACACCCCTGTCACAATCTGGCCCCTGCCCTGTGTGGACCAGAATAGGGCCTGGGGTGCACTGGGTGGCAGAGCGGGGTTGGGGGGGCACCTTCCACTCCACATCCCCATTGAAGATCTCGCTCTTGGCGATGTCTACACGGTCCCAGGCCACAGCCAGCTTGAGCTCGTCCAGGTAGTCCTGTGCGTCTTGGCTGTGACTCTTACAGGCTGTGGGCACAGTGGGTGGGAGTAGATGAAGGCAGAGCCCAGGGGCTGACAGAGCTGGCCAGGGAGCACAGTGTCTTTGAGACACACAGACTGGAACCTGGCCCTGGGTCTGGAGGGGGAACGTTGCTGCCTCTGAACAACCAGAAGAGGCGTATGAATAAAAATCGTATGAGCCAGTGTGGCACCTGGGTCCCCGTGGAGACAGGGCAGAGTGAAGTGGCAGGGAACAGAACAGTCCATCCACTTGCACATCCTCCCTGGGGCGGTGGGGGGGGGTTCCAGTTAACATCAGGCCTTGAGGCCACATCATAACATTGAAGGCCCAAGACCCCTTCCCGCAGGCCACAAGGGGGAGCACGTTTCAACTCCTCCACAGAGAAGGGCATTTGGCCACAACTTTGTCCTGAGTGGTTGCTTGGGCAGGCTGCTACCACTGCAGTGCCAGGGCTAGGGATTGCCTCAAAGCCACTGTGGCCACCAAGTTACACTGTCCAAGTCTTAGTCTCCAAGTCCATGGGCCAGCACTGCCGTGCCGCTCACCAAATGCAGGGACTGAACTGGGACTCTTGGGAAGCCCGGACAGGGTTCCTGTACAGGGGGCTTCCTCAACCTCCCATTGTCCTGAGAGGAGGGTCACTAAGCCCAGAGCCACCTCAGACCATGTGCCCTTTTCAGAGGGGCCCTCATTCACATGCACTCCCAACCCACACAATGCGCCCCTCCTGGCCTTGGGCCTGTGTCTGAACCACCAGCTCAACACCTGTGTGTCTCCAATAAACAACACATCAAATGGTCACCGAAGACTCCCGGCGACTGGTGAATAGATAAACGATGGTCTATCCACGCGAGGGATATTATTATTCAGTCTCTAAAAAAGGAGTGAAGTGGGCCAACAGGTGGCATGGTGGTTAAGGCAACTGGATCCCACCTGGCCTACTGCATGGTCTGAGTCCTGAACCTGGTGGCCTGAAAAACACACCGGGCGCCTATGTGTGCCCAGAATCCCCAAAGGAGGGAGAAATGGAGGAGAGGGATCGCAGTGCGGCCATCCCCCCAGGGGTGTGTTTTCTCACTTTCCTTCTCTCTGTGTTTCTCTCCAGTGAGAACACCTGTCCTATGGCAAATTAAAAGGGAAAAAAGGAATGAAGCCCTGGCTTAGTCTATAGCACATCCGATGCTGAAAGAAAGAAGCCAGACGCCACAGGCCCTGTGCGATTGTGGGAGTCCATTTACTTGCAATGCCGAAAATCGACAAATAAGGGTAGGCGGTTACCTGGGGCTGGGGGGAGAGGGGAGGGACTGCTCACGGGTGTGGGGTCCCTGTCTGGGGGGATGAAAATATTCTGGAATTATGTGGTGGGGAGGCACCAGCTTGTGAATGTGCTAAAACCCACTGAACTGAACACATTATTCTTTCAAGTGTGGTATATATATGTACATACATCTCTCACGAATACATACATACATTTTATATATATATGTAAATGTGTGTGTGTGTGTACCATAAAACTTGCCAAATAAGAACCCTTGGTGAGAACACCTCCTGCCCGGCGAGGCACAGGCAGACACCTGGCATAGGCGCCAGCCCCGCCCTCACCTTTCACCAGCGCCTTGAGGATGACAGTGTCCAGCTCGTCAGAGCCCTCCTGCTCGAAGTCGTACACGGTGAGCAGGTGCTCGTGTGCAGCGATGTTCTGCAGCTGGGGGCATCAGACCAAAGCCTGTGGGGTCAGTGCTGGGGGCCGCGGGCAGCCGCGGGCCCAGCACAGGTGGAGGCCCAGGCTAGGCTATCTCCAGACAGTGAGTGCCAGTCCATAGCCCCGTGCACCAGCAGCCCACTGGGCCTCGCCCAGAACCACCCGCAGACCCAGGCCCTGATGCAAGACCAGTGTGTGGGGCTTGGCAGCAAGAGGGGCTGGGCTACATAAGGTATGATGGGGAGGCCCAGTCCTGCCCTACGAAGAGTAGGGTCCCCCCCCACCCCTCCGTCTCTGGGCTTACACACCAGTGTGGTCCAGTGCACGATGTCCTCCCGGGAGAAATGCTCGTTGGGGAACTTGTCTTTAAACTGCTTCTCGGCCACCTGGGGCACCAGGAGGTGGGGCTGGTTCACCAGGGCAGCAAGCACGTCGGCGATGCCCCCTGAGCCTGCCAGGATCAGCCACGGGGCAGCATGATCCACAGCCCTGGAGACCCTCTGAGGTGGGCAGGGAAGGGAACGTGGACACAGTCAGCCCAGGCAATGTGGATGCACGTGTTGGGGGTACTCCCCAGACCTTTCCACCCTTCCATGGGGCTGCCCTGTGGACCCACCATGCCCTCTGGGGGGATCTTCAGTTAACAGGAAGAGGGGACTCCAGCCGGGCCCCACCCCCCTCCCCTTCTGAGCATACCTCCAGGGTGCTGGGGTCACCATTGACTAGCAGACAAAGAACAGGGATCTCGATGCTGCTGGTGCCTGTGGACAGAGCACCTGTGAGGTCTCCTACCCCCGATGCCCAGGGAAAGCCAGGATTGGGGGAACCTGAGGGTTTCCATGTGAGGTCTCCACCCAGACTTCAGACCCTCAGGCTGCCATGTTTTCTGGGCACATGCTGATCAGGAGTTTTTAACTAATGAAGTGCGGGTGCCAGGCTGCATATACAGGGCCATTATTACAAGCCTTAGCCACAAGGAGGATGAGAACTGCAATCTCATATCTGCACTGTCCAGTGTGGTCTCTGTGACTAGACCTGGCATGCGGCTATGTAAATATAGTCACAGCACTTTCTACAGTGGCAGGAGTGGTGGTTGGGGCAGCGGGCACCTCCTGCCCGGCTCCCGGCCATGCCGCTTTGGTGGGAAGGACCTTTGCCACAGGACATTAATACAAGCCTAAGAAAAACGGCGCCTTCCTGCTACGCCATGGCCTGATGGTTGTACAGAAAGACCATTCTGGGAAACAGGCTTCGGGAGAGCCTGGTGAGCTCATACCGTTTCAACAGATCACCCCCCGCCTCCCCAGCGTGCTCTTCAAGTTCAGTTTGATAAGGCTCTAAATTCAGCATCGGCCCAGAGGGTCACGAGCAGAGTCCGCTCAGGAGCACTCTAGGTATGTAGATTCTGTGCTGAATTCAGAGAGGCAACAGAACTTACTAAAAGTGCACAACTTGGAAAGGCACCTTCTAACTGAGTCTTGAGGCTGAGCCAGGGGGTGGGCCAGCTGGAGTGCAGCAAAGCAGAGCTGGGCTTTCTACCTACACGCCCAGGGCATTAAACTCTGCTTTGTATGTTCATCTTTGATGAGTGCTTGGTTCGCCTCGCCAAGGAATTACACTTTTTGCTTATAAGTATTTTCTGTTGCTCGTAAGCATTATAAACGACTATAGATTTTGTTTATAAATGTTTACACGCTAGTATCTTCTTGGTAAATCCATTTCAAGCCCGCCACTGGCCCTGGTGATGCCCAATCCCTATACTACACTGCCCTCTGGTGGCAGCATACTTCATAGCCAGTGGAGGGAAATGGTTCTCTTGGAATTTACAGATCTCATTTTGTTTCTAAAAGCCCCAAGCTCGTAGTCAAAACTTCTGGCTAGGGGAACAAGAAAATGAAGCTGCAACTACTCTGTCTGGCCACGGCTGCTCCTGCCTGCTGTTCCCCTCCACCTCCCCTGCTTGGATAGCTCCTTCTCCCAGGCCTCATACAGCCTCCCGGGCATCAGTGCTTAGGTGCGCTGCGTGACTTCTGCCTGGAGAGCCCTTCTCCACCCTCCCTGGTGGTCCTCCCTGCCCCCCACCCAAATGCCAGATCCCTGTTCCCCCCTGGATCCTGAGGCAGATCTGGTTTCCCTGGGTCTCACCCCCATAGCCGGTCCTCTGCTCTGAGATGTGCTTCTCCAGTCTCAGCCGCAGCTCAGTCAGCCCGTCCCCCTTCCCGGAGGGACCTGGCTCCACCAGGATGAAGTGAGAGAGATTGTTGTCCAAGGAGCAGAGGGGGCCCTGGTTGCCACCGTCGTCCATGGGGTAGTAGACAGGAGTATCCTCCTGTGCCCGAGAAGGGAGACAACGTCGAGCCCCCAGGAGGCGGCTTGGACTGGGTCCCCAGTGTGGAGCCTCCCCACCATGCCCTGCACCACACCCTGGAGGTCCCAGACAAGGCTTTTGTCCAGGTGCAGGGAAGGCTGGGCTGCTGGAACCTAGGGCCTCCCTTCAGTCAGGCGCAGTGTGTGTGGGGGGAGGGTTCCTCTAGACACAGCCATGGAGACAGCCAGGGCTGGAAGCGCCTCCTTCTAGATTTCTGGGAGGGAGTCCAGGTGCTCACAGGGCTGTCTGAGCCTCCACCCTTGTGTGCTTCAGACAGACCGCGGGTAGGAGCCATGAACAAGGATAAGAGAGCAGAAACTACTGGCCCAGGGATGCACAGAGCCTGGGGACAGTGCTGAGCCAGGCCTGGGCCCATGTGGGCAGCGTCCGGTCCTGAGAGTCCAGGTCCCACCCCAGCGGGTCTGTGCTGGCCATTGTTCCCTCAGCGATGCTGCCACCTGCTGGCCGTGAGCAGGGCGCCTTCCTTGCTCCCTCTCCTCAAATCCTCCTTATTGGAAGTCTGTCCCCACAACTCAGTCTTCGGAGTTGTCTCTACTTCTGGCCTCGTTACTCCCCTTAGACTATGAATCTCTGAGGGCGGGGGCTGACCTATTCACTGCCCTTCCTGCCTCCCAAGCCACTAAGCCCCAGCGGCCGGGTTCCCCAGCCAGATGCTCACCTGAGCACCATCCAGGAGCTGACGATGCAGGACGCAGCCCAGTGAGGCAATGCCGATGGCGACCACACGGACCTTGGTGGACGTACTGGCCAGCGAGTGGTCGCGCACAGCCTGACCGACGTGCCTGGCCAGGCCCACGCGAAGTGCACTGGTCAGGATCCATGCCCCTGCGGGAGTGGAAGAGGGCAGGGGCCTCACTGCCAGGCGCCTCCCAGGTCATCCCTAGACACTCGCCCCAGGTCCAGTGGAACGCCCCCTCAGCTCAGCCACAGCCAATGACCCGAGAAGGAGGGTTGGAGTGCCGGGAAGGCCTTGAAGCACTGGTGGGAAAACAGGCCCGGGGAGAGCAAGGCAGCCTGGCTGAGTAGCAAGGTCTCCTGCCCAGTGAAGCGGCGATGACCCTCACCCCTGCCTTGACCTGCAAGGTGTATGCTACGTTCTGCTCTGGACAGAGCAGGTCACAGTTCTGTCCAGTCATGTGTGCCCAACAGCCATCTGGGCACCTTTCCCCAAGCTATCAGGCTCTCTGCCCATGTCTGGCTCACAGATCTCTTATTATTTTTTGCTTTGCTGCAGTCATTTTTTGCAGTAAGGGGTTCCGAAACCCCAAATCCTTGTACTGGGCTTACTGAAGGCCAATCCTGCCTCAAAATAAAGCCCAGTAATTTGATTCCAACTGCAGCGACTGACTGGCCATGGTGTGTCCCTCAGCGTGTCAGTCACTGGTGAGTGAGAGCAGGGCCCATGGGCCCCACGAGCACAGAGGCCATACCCCTTCCCATGGGGGCCCAAGACCCAGCTGGGGAGGCCCCGTCTGTGCTGCTTTCACTGCCTGCCTGGGCACAACACAGGGCAGGCGGGGAGGTCAACAGAGATGCTGACAGGCAATGGCCACAGGGGTCAGCAGGCTCGTCTCCTGTGCTTCTGTGGCTGCAGGGGGGCGGGGGAGCCTCACCTGTGCTCTGAGCTGCCTTGACCAGCCCCTTGCGCAGGACATCCCGCAGCCAGGACTTCATGGCGAAAGGACGCTCCTCACCCACCAGCGACACCACCAGGTTGGGGGCCGGAAGGTGCCACTCGGTGAGCAGCAGGTCAAAGAGGACAGAGGGGGCCGCACTGCTTGGCACCTTCACAAACTGCAGGGCAGTAGGTACCAGGGTGCTAGGTACTGGGGACCCTGGGGGTACTGAGACTAGGGGGTGCTGGGCACAAGGATAGGAAGCAGGAGGAGAGAGGTTCCAAGACCGTCTTTGGGACAGAGTCGGTCTGCCTTGACCTGCCATATGACCTGACAGTCCTGACCCCTCTCTGGACCTGACTGCTTCTTCAGTGCGGTGAGGGGACTGGGCAGAGGAAAGGCCTGGGCACCTGACCCCAGTGCTGCCCGGACCTCTCAGTGGACCTCGGGGGCTCCGGTTACTGTAGGGATAGGAGGCAGAGGCCAGAGACACTGAGTGCCTGAATCCCACCCATCTGGGGGTTCTGAACATGACCCCCCAGAGAAGAGACCCCAGGGGTGAGCAAGCATCTGGGTGCCCTGTCTCCAGACAGGGACTCAGAGTTCTGGGCATGGCAGATGCCACCAAGGCATGGGGCCACCCCTACCTTGCCTCGTTTCTTCCCAGACCCTCCAAAGTCCACTTCACCCCGGCACAGGCCAGGCTCCCACCCATGTCCTGCGTCCATGGGGCTGCCAGGACAGGAACTCGGGGCCTCCTGCATGGCAGCTTCCCTGCAGGGACACAGTCACCACCTGAGGGTGGAAGAGCCAGTCCCCCGCCCTCCCTTCAGCAGGCTGGGGCTGCCTTCCCCAGGGAAGCCCCTCTCCCTAGCTGACATGCCAGCAGAGTCTTGGGGACCACCAGGAGAGCCTCTGTTCCAGTCACCTTCGCTTCGGTTGACCCCTCTTGGACCTCCCCTTACAGCTCTACCTCTTGCTGCATCATTGCATCCCTCAAGCCCCTTCCCCAGCAAGGGAGGGGGACACCTCCAAGCCCCTCTGCTTGGCTGCTCGTTCCGCTACTCACCCCACCCCAGACACCGTGGCCGGCCACACCTGTTGACACTTCTCCAGAGGCTTTCGTGGGGGCGTTCTGAAAACCGTAAAAGACTCAGTAAAGCAGCCACAGCTTTCCAGCCACACTGCCTACCACCCCACAACCCTGTCGGCCCGGGACAGGGGAGAGCACACCCAGGGACACTTGGGCGAGCAGGTGAGAAGGTGAGGCTGGTGCACGCAGCTCAAGTGCAGAGGACCTGGGCAAGGTTGTGTGGAGGAGGGGAGGCCCCCTTCCTGCCCAGGTGGGCCCTGGAGCCCAGAGAGGGAAGGCCTGACCCAGGCCCCCACAGCAGCAGTGGCTCTTCTCACTGTGTTCCTGCCTCAGCAAGTGCAGGTAGGAGAGGTGCCCCTTCACCCCTGTCTGGGCTCACATCACCTCTGACCGCCTGCCTAGTCCACCACCTTAACCCCACCATGGCCGACCCAGCCGGAGCAGGGCTCCTGGCCGAGGTGGTGAGTGTACTCGGGAGGTGCCAGATGGGAGGCAGCCCTGGCGCCCCAGGCGCCCTGCCCCACCCGAGGCTCTCCAGCAGCTCCCAGCTACTTCCCCTCCCCATGGACCCACCCTGCCCTCTCAGCCCCGGAGGCCACCCCAGGTGCCCTGGGCACTGCCCAGCCATGGACGGCCCTTTGTGAGAGGAGAATGGATCCTTTTGTAAAACCCTTTGTTTCTTGGAGAGGGGCCACCTGTGTACACAGGAGGGGCGCTGGGAGGTGGCAGGGTGCCTTTGGGTGTGTCAGGGACTGGCCCCGGGACAGTGGCTAAGGCTGAGGTCCCCCGCCATCCCATCTGTCTCTGGAGCCAGCACAGTAGCTGTGTCCTTAAAAAGGTGTCCCCAAAAGAATACATGCAAGTCCTAACCCTGGTACCTGTGAACAAGACCTTTGGAAACAGGATCTTTGTAGATGCAATTAATATAGTGAAGATGAGGTCACACTGAGGAGGGCAGCGCTTAGTCCCAGGACTGGAGTCCTTACAGAAAGGAATAATTAGGACATAGAGACAGACACGCCCCGGGCAGAGGACGATGTGAAGACCTGCAGAGGACAGCCACGTGAGATAGAGACAGAGCACAGAGTGATGTGGCTGCAAGCTGAGGGATGCCCAGAGAGCCTGGGGTCCCCAGAAGCCAGAAGCCAGGTAGGAGGACCCTTCCCCAGAGCCTTCAGGGGAGCTCAGCCTGCCATGGGACCTCTGACCTCTAGACTTGTAGGGAATCTGCTCCAGGGTTTAAGATTCCTGTCTGTGGCCTTTTGTCAGGGCAGCCCCAGTACTCGGCCCAGAGGGGGCTGTAGAGTGGGCAAGTGTGTGCTGGGGCCAGAGTCAGGCTAGGTCTCCCACTTCCGTGTCTCATGTTCCCACGTGGCCACGCCTTCAGAGGCTTCCTGATGGCCTCTGCCCACCTTGCACCTTGCGGGGAGAGAATGCAAATCTTCCTCCCATTTCCCACTCCCAGAGCAGGAACTTAGCGCCAAACAGGGCCAGGATTTGAATGTGGCCTTCCCAGGCAGCAGATGCAGCTTGCTGGGCCTCCATATTGGGACCTGGCCTCTGAGGACAAGCTCTGGGTGAGGGCTGGCGACGGCAGGAGGGTGAGACGTGGCAGCACGTTTGGGACCCACGCCTGCTGTAAGAGAGGAAAACCTCGTGGCTTAGAACAGTAGAACGCGATTCTCTCACAGTCCTAGAGGCTAGGAACCCCAAACCCAGCTGTGGACAGGGCAGTGCTCCCACTGAAAGCTGCAGGGGAGGGTCCTTCCTGCCTCTTCTAGCTTCTCAGGGCTCCAGGCCTTCCTGCGCTAGAGGCCACATCACGCCGGCCTCT